TGCTGGAGAGATGGCTCAGCAGTTAGAGCACTTGCTACTTTTGCCGAAGACCTGAGTTTGGTTCCCAGCACCCACATGGTGGTCTACAACCATCTGTAACTCCAGTTCCAGGGAATCCAACATCTTCTCACCTCTGTGGGTACCATAAATGCAGGTAGTATGTGTACATACATGCAGACAGAATACTCACACATACAAAATTAAAAAAATAACCAACTAAAAGTAAAAACATTATTGTTAAGATTGGGTGTGTCAGGAGATCTCAAATTCAAGGCCAGCCTTGTCTATATAGTGAGAACTTATCTAAAAAAAAAAAAACAACCTCAGCTAGTCTTTAGAAATGGAGGACATGTTGCTATGCTGCTGGGGATTTGGATCTGGCTGTAGCATGAGTCTTTGATATAGTCTTGTGTCCCATATTACAAAGGAACAGCTTCTGTTGACTTGAAGTATGAAAACGGGAGTCACCAGGAGTGCTAGCTCACCCTTGAGAGACTAAGGGAGGAAGAGGATTCCCTCACATTCAAGGCCAGTGCTCTAGTCCTGCCTAAGCTTCTGAAAGAGACCTGTCTCACAGAACCAACTGACAACTGATTAACAAGAAAAACTTAAATAACACATACAGATACCACACACACACACACACACACACACACACACACACACACACACACACGCATCTCTCCTTCTGAGGAACGGATCCACACTCTTCACCGTGGAGGTCAGTGGCTCACTGAAAGGACTGGAGATGGTACCGGACACATCAAGACCAAGTTTTCAGCATGAAGAGATTTATTTGTCCCACAAGGACAAAGGACAGCAAATAAGAGACAAAGACAGGAGACAGAGGACGAGCGAGAAAGGAAAAGCACCAAGGGAGAAGGTGGAGGGACAAAGGACTGTGTTGTTTTTATCTAAGTTGTTCTATTTACCAATAAGCACTTGGAAGACAGCTATTAGGGTGAAAACTTGCTGGAGCAGAAACTTTCCTTTTTGGCTGGAGATCCAGGATGAGAGCATCTCTCCACTGGTCCCATACCCAGAAGGCCCCAGGATCTCTAAGTCCCTCTCTATCCCTTTCTTGCCTCTCTCCATCCATCTTCCTGGGTCCTCCATACTCTCTATGGCTAATTCTTGCCAACTAGTCACTGACTCTGCCTCCTGATCCAAAGTTAATTTTATTAACATGGTCTCCAGAGTGTCACAGAGCAATCAGATATCCCACAACAGGGCTAACTGAGTTGGTTTGTTTTGATTGGGCATGTTAATTAGGTGAGCTAAAAGGAGGCTTCTGATTGCTGGACTTCAATACTGTGATAGCTGTACCCTGGTGGTCAGCCTCAGGAGGAGCAAGGGGCCAAATAAGGGGTAGACCCTGATGACCAGTTTTAGGAATGTAATCTATTGGGTTTTAGCAAGGGGGAGAAGGGTGAAAGGCAAAACCTATTAGTGCCAGGATTGCCATGCTCAGGCCTGCTAGAACCCTTCACCCAAATGAGGCAAAGCTACAGACCCTTCTTCCCAGGCAACTTCAGACTCCTGTCATGTTTGAAATAAGATTTCCTTTCTTCATTGTAAATTCTATCTGGACTGACATTCACAGGTCTTTCATCCCTTGATAATAGCTTGGTCCTCACCGCCTTAAAGCTGTCGAGATGCATTAACTGGGACTCAGTTCAAAATGACAGAAACCAAGCATGGCCTGGCTTACATGAAAAGGTACACTTAGTGTCCCCCACCTCCAGCCCAGTGCTCAGGGATCGAACTGAGTGGAGGATGAGAAGGTGAGATCCAAGATGCCAAGTTCCAGATGTCTTCCTCTCAGTTCTCCCTCCCTCACATGGTCCATTTGCCCATCCTTCTCCTTCCCTAGTGGTGATAAAGATGGCCCTAAGGAACCACAGCCTCACACCTTAGCACTTAGCCACCTTAGCAGGAAAAACTTCATCTCTTCTCCAACTCCTGGGTATAAATCCCAGAATTGTCTCTGATTGGCCTGAGTCACATGCTTCTGTGGATTAATCAGTACATAGATGATGGTCCAACTGTTGTTAATTTAGTCAGATTCCATGCCCATTCTTGAGCCAGAGGTTCAAGTCTGTTTTTTTCTTAACCGTATCAAGGATAACTAGAATATAAATGTATAGTGGTATTTTATTTGTATTTTAATAAATAAAGCTTGCCTGAAGATCAGAAAAGTGAAACAGCCACACTGGCCTTACAGATTAGGCAGCAATGACACACACCTCTAATCCCAGTAGCCATAAAGACACACACCTTTAATCTCAGTAGCCACAATGACACACACCTTTAATCCCAGTAGCCACAAATGCACACACCTTTAATCCCAGTAGCCACACTAGTTTGCCATAGAAACCAGGTAGTAGTGGTGTGTGCCTTTAATCCCAGAACTAGAGAGAAATATAAAAGAGGAGGAGACAACTCTCCGGCTTAGTCTCATTCTGAGATTCCTGGAAGCAGGATCGCCATTTGAGACTGAGGTAGAGGTAAAAGCCAGTGACTGGCTGCTTTGTTTTTCTGGTCTTCAGGTTAAACCCAATTTCTCTCTCTCTCTGAGTTTCTATTAATCATATTCATAAGTGCATTTTATTAATGCCTTGTACCCTCAGGGGCCAGAGGAGGGTGGCATCCAATCCCCTGGGACGGGAGGTACTGATAGTTCTAAGGCAGCACGTGGTGGGTGTGGGTTGAACCCAGGTCCTCCGCAAGAGCAGCCAGTGCTCTTAATCACTGAGTCACCTCACCAGATTCCCCAGGCACTGTTCTAAATGAGTCTCATGGTCTGTCTTGTTCTCATTTAACAGAAAAGCTATAAAGTCAACTATTTTTAGCCCCAGGTTTGGAGAGGTAGGGTCATTTTCCTCAAACCATATTTGGTAAGCAGTAAACCTGACCAGGAGGTCCACTCAGGACGAGTGACTAGCTGTCTCTGCTTCTCAGCATAATTTGCTTCTTTCCAAAATGCCTGGCCACATCTCTGTTCCAAACAGACACCAGTACCAGGCAGAGCCTCCTAGTAACCACCCACTTAGTGTCTTTCAGAAATTACACATGTGACCTCAGAAAGACAGGGGTGAGGCAGGGGGATACTTCTTCCCCTCTTTTCTTCCCTCCCCCCCTTTCTTTCATTCTCTCTTGACAGGGTCTTACTACATCGCTGACTTCCAGAGATCTGCCTGTCTCTGCCTCTTCCTCCTGAGGGCTGGGATTAAAGGTGGTTGTCACCATGCACTGATTTTTTTTCTTCTTTAGGTTTGGTAAAGGACCCACACATGCTCAGAACTCACTAAAGTCAATTAAATGAAAAGATATAAATGAGTTAAGGATTAATGGGGTGATTGACCATCTGGTTCAGCCTCAGTTTGAGCATGGCGTTTGTATGGCACTTTTGGATGGTACTCTGGTGCCCCCATGTGGCCTCTTGTAAGATGGCAGACAGTAAACTTCCCAATTTTGATGGAAATTTTCAAAGAATAATGCAGGGAGTAATATAGTAAATTTGTTATATCTATCACTCAGATTTTAAAATCATGTGTGTTTTCTATGCTTGATTTGTATTTGAATTCCAAATATCATTGCAAGGCATTAGCATGTATCTTAAAAGTTCCTTTCAAACAAATGCTACAATCAGCTCAATTACAGACGAGAAGGCTGAAGCATAGCGAAGCTCAGCTACTTGCTCAAGTTAACACACACTGAAATCCAGACACTTTGCCAACTCCTCGCCCTAGGTTTTAACATGGCTGTCGGTATCGTTTTCAAAATGGGTCACTATGCACATGTTACTTCCTGCAGGGGACTTCCCAGGTTGTCCAGTTCATGGTGTCTTCCATTAAACCATCAACTTTTAATATATTAACACCCATTTTCCATGTAAGGGAATTTGTATTCGTTCACTTTCTTTTGTACTTTCTTGTCTATATTGTCTCCATCCCTGACCCACACCCCTCCAACACCATGTCAGCTCCTCAAGATCAGGGACCACATCTTATTTGTTCACTTCTGTCATTCAGGCGCTGGCAAAGTTGTCAGAGGTTTGGAAACATCTACTAAAATGAATGGAAGGGCTGGGTCTTATAGTGCCCTACAGATTGGGTAGTCAAAGTAGATACCCTGGGTTTCATAGCCAAACCTTGTCTCAAAAACCAAAAGGTTGAGGCTTGAAAAGATGACTCAGTGGTTAAGAGCACTTCCTGCTCTTCCAGAGTACCTAGGTTCGAATTCTGGCATCTACATGGTAGTTCACGGTCATCTATAAGTCTAGATCCAGGGGATTCAGCTCTCTTTTTTGACCTATGCAAACACCAGGCATGCATGTGGTGCACAGACATCCATGATGACAGAACACTCAAACACAAAATAACTAAACCTTAAAGGTGTATTATTGTGTGTGTGTGTGTGTGTGTGTGTGTGTGTGTGTGTGTGTGTGCGGGGAGCTGAGGATATAGCATTGTAGATTGCTTGCCTAGTTCACTCAAGACCCTGGGTTTGATACCTAGTACTGTAGACAAACAGATAAAGAACAATAAAAACAAGGATGGAAGAAAGGAAGGAAGAGAGAAGGAAGATGGGAAGGAAGGAAGGGCAGAGAGGAAGGCAAGATGCAAAGATGCTTTTGGCAGGTGCTCAGGACTATGAAACATCAAGGGTGCGTCCAAGACAGGCCCCATGTGGCTGGAAGCACATGCCTCTGATTAGAGTAGTCGGATTTGGCAAATAAAATCACAGGGTGACCAGCTTAAAAGTTAACTTCAGATAAACAGGGAATAATTTTTAAAATTATAAGTATGTTATGTGCAATATTTGTGGCATACTATGCTTCAAAATTATTTGCTCTGTATTTGAAATTCAAGTTTACTGGTCAACTGTCGTTTATGGAGCTACCCTATCCTGGTTCTTTACTTGGTTCTAAGTGTTGTGGGAGATCCTGCTGACTTTAGTATCCTTTTTAAATACAGAACATTTTGTTTTTGTTCCTGAATAAAGAAGCACACACTCTTTATTGATCTAAAAAAAAAAAAAGGACACATGGACACATGTCTCAGAGACAGATGGCAGCTTGTTACAGGAGAATGGTTCTTGAGGCTTAAGGGAAGGTGTCAATGTATTGTTGTTCTGAGCCCACTGTGCCTCGTAGGATCTGCTTATCCCGTGGAACTTTCCTCCACAGGTCCAGAGGTGACCTGGAGTAGTGTTTAGCTCCTCGGTTGCTGCCAAAGAGAACAGGAGAGAGGACATTGAGTTCGAGAGGAAAAGACAGTCTGGGAATGTGAACTCACTGGTAATTTGTCCATTCATGCCATCTCACCATGTGGCTGGTGGCAAGGTTTCAGAGATGAATGGCATGGGGCGTGGCCTTGAGGCTCTGCACAGAGAGGGGAGTGCCTCCTTACTCCTGCCTAGTCTCTCCCTCCCTTCTTTCTTTCCTTCCTCCTTTCCTCCCTCCTTCCATTCCTTCCTTCTTCCTTTCTTCCCTATTCTTACCTCCCCACCCCTGCTGCCATTTGTCAACTTATTTACCCATTATCCAAAGAGGACTCTAAGGAATAGCCACTGTACACTGGTTTTATTGTATTGCCCTATATTTGCACACATACCTGCTCCTGATGCCTTCACAACTATCCAACAACACCCAACTTAACCTAGTTCATTTGCACACTCTTCTCCGATTGGTTGGTACAAATCCACCAGGCCCCTAATCCTCCATTTAGCCTGTTTGTTGGTTTGCTCAGGCCAGTGTCCTGGGATTCTCAGACTTGGCTCTGCTCTCTGTGCTCTTGTCTGCTCAACAAAGTATCTCTGGTGATCTCTTTGGGTTGAAGTTAAAAATCTGGTTCAACCCTGAGCATTGCCATTGACAAAATTATGTCACCCTGATGATTCATTTTGCTGTTCTGACACTCTGTTCCTTTATCTGTGAGAAGACTTGCCTTGACTGGATTCTTACGAGAATAGTCTGTGGTAGGTAGTATGTTCTCAAAAGCCAGATAGCCTGAGTTCAAACCCTGCTTCTACTTATCAGCAAAATGCCCTGAACCAATGACCTATTCTTGTTCATCTGAATGAGAAACAAATAAGCCAAATAAGTGCGTAGATGTAAAAACACTTGCATATGCTTTGAACACAGGTGGTCTAATATGTGTTAGCTATTACTGTGATGGATATTAAAGTCTATTGTCTAAATGTTGTTCATGTCATTATTGAGTGTAGGCTATGAAAAATTAATTGGTTCAGAGTACAGAGGTCCCTTTATAAATACAACTCAAAAGAATGAAGTCCTAAACTGTTGGGTCTCAGTCTTTACATTTGTAAAGAGTCTAGGACAGCCACACCTCTGTCTGTTTCCCAAGAAAGTTCACATGCCTGGCCCATTGTAAGCCTTCAAAACAAACATGCTGCATGAGTGGATGCACAGGCACATGTGTGTCAGTGACATGGCAAGCTGCAGGGTTCTGTCTTACGTGGCACCTGGACTAACTTGTGGCCCCTGAGACCTAGTGAAGTGGAGGCCCACAGAAGCAGAGGATGAAGGCTGAGTTGAGTAGTCAGGATTACACACCCAGATGAAGGGATTCTGGTTAAATCAACCAAAATGATTCTTGCTGGAGAGAGATCAGGGCGGGAAGACATTGCTTGGGAGATGTATAGGACACTTTGGCCCTAAAATCAGAGCCAGTAAAAGAAATATGCCCTGGCCCTGAAATTAGAGCCAAAAGTTAAAAAGTGCCAGTGAAAGAAACTCACTGAAACCAGAGTCAAATCTGCACCTGACCAACTAAGCAGAAAACCAACCAATCCCTGAGCAGAGATCTAGCCAATCTGAGCTCAAGGGACTGAAATCTGACCAATTCCCACCCTGAAAATCTCCCTGGAAAAACTCTGCCCTTAAGAAGCCCTATATAAACCCTGCACCTGTTCAGTTTGATGCTGCCATTTTATTCCACCCTGGCAGAGGCGGCCACTCTTCTGGATTCTTCCCTCCCAATAAATCTCTTTAATGAGGTTTGGGTGAGAACTTCTTTAGCTGGAATGGATCAGAGGAGAGAAGTAACAACTTTTTGCCAGAATGCCAGAGCCAGGCAGGGCTGTAACACTTTCACTGGGGAAACCTTCCTCTAACACAGTGGAGTTGTTACACTTGGACATATCAGAATAGAACTGTAACTGTAACAAATTCACCATGGGAAGCCCTCTCCTGCTGGAGCAGAGCTGTTACACTGGGGAAACCTTTCCCAAGAGCAGGGCTGCAAGCTGCTACACTTACTATGACCTGTGTTGTTCCTTGGCTCCCAACTGCCAGAATATTCCTTCATCGTGACTATAACACTCCGTATTTCCTGGTTCCTATTGCCAGCATACTTTTCCATCTTTTCCATCTGAGCTGTAGCGCTTAGCATTCTTTGGCTTCCGACTGCCAGGATCCCTGTCCATCTGATCTGCAACACAAGATGGATGAGGACGAGGAACCTATCAAGGAGTCTGAGTGATTTGATATGAAGAATGTGGGCTCCTTCTAAACTAATTTAGTAATACTCTTTGTTGAAACTGAACTTTATGAGGAAGATTGGCTAGGAGATGTTTCAAGAGCCTGACAGAAGTTTGGTCAAGGAGAATTTCTGTCAGTTTGCTTGGGAAGCATCTGGGAACTAAGCTTGGGAAGCCTGTGGGAACTAAGTGCCAATATTAACAGTAGCTATCTCTGAAGAGCAGAAATAACTTTAAAGTTTAGAGGTGTGCAGGGGTGGGGAGTAGGTAAGTGATAGAGCACATGCTTAGTGCAGCTAAGACTGTGTTTAATGTCTCCCCCCACTTAAAGCAAGAGTTCCTATTTAGATCATGTAGGCTCTGTGTGGCTCTGGGGGATGCCACTATCGCTCACAGAAAGCGGGGTTGAGACAGAAGTGTGACTTTAGATGTTTTCAAGGACCAGGACAGATCTCTATAGTAACCAGAGAGTACGACCTGAAGGGGAAGAGAAGAGCCTAACCTTGAGATATCTATCAAGGTTTAGACTTCATTTGATTCCTGACTGTCTTTTTCCTAGTACTTATTCACCTTCGGGAATCTTTTGTTTATTCCTTTTCTAAGGCAGATTCAAACTGCCCTTAATCCTCCAATCATCCTCTTCTTTCCCGAGATCTAAGGATTACAACACTCTAAACTGCGCCCCGGAACTCTCAGCGTCGCCCGGTGCATGCTAACTACAACGCCCAGCATGCTGTGCGCTCACCTCGAGCGCGTCGCGCGTTGCTGACGTAGGTGTAGCGCGGGGAATTTCGAGTAGAAGGACTGGGCGGCAGGCCGGTAGCTGGTGGCCTTGTCAGGTGCGACCATGGAGACCCTGGCCGAGCCAAGGTGGCCTCCGGGGCTGTCGATGATGAAGGTGAGTGTCCCGGGAAGGCCGGGGCGTGGACGGCGCTGTTGCGAGCGGGACGGCCCGGGCCGCGCGCTTCCGCCTCGGCCCTATCCTGGCCGGCCTCGCGACGCCGGGTCTCAGTTTCCAACGCCGGAGACTGTTCGGGAACGCGCAACGGGCCTACGCTGTGAGCCCAGGATGGCCGCCCTAACGAACAGGGTGTTTTGGATTTCAGTCACAAGCACCTCGTCATCAGGATAAAGTCACCGTAACGCGGCGTCAACAATGGTGACAGCTCACCCTCGGAAGACTTCGTGTGTGAACAGTGACACCACGCGTGATTTGGGTGGACGTTGCATCTGATGACTTTTTTTTTTTTTAATAATCATGTAGCAAAATGGGATCTGCTTGCCATGGCTTTCCATTTCTCGCTGAGGTTCACAAGTGCTCCTCGTTCTTAGCACACTGCAACCGGTTTCTCCCTAATGTGCCCTGCCTGTTTCAACGACACATCTCTCTTTTATTCAACTTTTATTTATTTTATTAGTTTATGAGACAAGCTCTTACTCAGGTCTTTGGCTGTCCTGGTGTTCGGTAGGACCAGCCTAGCGTCGATCCACCTGATCCAGCATCCTGAGCGCTATTTTTTTCTCCCTTCCCCTCGCTACGCTACAGTGTTTCTTTGCGTAACAGTATTGGCTGTGGTGGAACTCGTTTTGTAGACCAATCTGGCCTCAAACTCAGAGATCCACCTCTGCCTCCCAAGCGCGGGATTAAAGGGGTGCGCCACCATCGTCCAGCTCGCTGGTCAGTGGCCATCCCTGGCTCACACCTTTTTAAAACAGAGATTAGGACCTGGGCCCAGTACTTAGCCTTTGATTTTAAGGAATTACTGCACACTGAATTTTTTACTTAAGTAATATTTACTTGGGTGGCTATTTTTTTGACTAAGAATCACTCAGTAACCCTCCTGCCTCTGCCCCGATGTAGACTTTCTCCTTACTTTTCATAAAACACTGTATTTCCCTATGATAGTTTTTTTTTTTTTTTTTTTTTTTGCTTGTTTTGTGTTTGAGACAAGGTTTTCCCTTGTGTATTCCTGGCTGCCCTGGAACTCCTTCTAAAGACCAGGCTGACCCCAAACTCTGTCTCCGAATGCTGGAATTAAAGATGTGTGTCACCACTGCCCAGCACAAGTTTTTAATAGCTATATGATATTTATCATATGGATTGTTAATGACAACTTGTTTGTGTTTGATTTTGAGACAGGCTCCCTGTGTAGTCCAGGCAGACTTGGAGCTTGCTGTCTAGCTCAAGGTGGTGTCTAACTTTTGGATCCTCCTGCTCCTGCCTCTGAAGTGCTAGGTTTAAAAGTGTGTGCCACCATAATGGTATTTGCTTATATTTAAATTATTTATTCTAAACAATTATTTATTTTATTTTGTGCATTGAGTGTTTTGCCTATTATATGTATGTGTTCTGCATGCATGTCTGGTGCTTGTAGAGGTCAGAAGAGAGCACTGAATCCCTGGAACCAGAGTCATAAATGGTCATGAGCCGTGGTATGGATACCAGGAATCCAACCCAAGTCCTCTGCAAGAGCAACTGGTGCTCTTAACTGCTGAGCCATCTCTTCAGTCTCTACAGTTTTTAAGTAATAGATTCATGTGACTTAAGAAATACTTAAAATGAAACAGATTTCCTTCCTGCCTCAGTTCCTTGATCTTAGTAACTATAATTTTTCACTTCATTGTATCTTTACAGAATTTTCTTCGTATGTGTAATACATTCTACTTTTGCTTTTGTTTTTTTGAGGAGGGTCTCACAGTGTCGCTCTGGCTGTCCTGAAACTGTGTAGATCAGGCTGGTCTTGAACTCACAAGCGCTGGGGAACATGTGCCACTATCCCTAGCTGTAGTCTACATTTTTATTCATATTGCGTGCATGCATGCATGCCCGTGTGTGTGTGTGTGTGTGTGTGTGTGTGTAGCTCAGGGTGGCAGCCAGGGCCACTTTCATGCTAGACAAGGACTCCATTCTTCAGCTACCTCCTCGGCTTCCCAAACTTTTATTTCCTGAGAATAAAGCAGCCTACCTTACTATCTTACTGTCATTACCTTACTTAAACAGCTAAAGTTTAAGTTGCAAGAGAAAATCCTATTCTGTTTGGCTTGTTGTCCAATTTGACACTGACTGTAGCCAGCTGTTGCGAAGGCTTCCTCATGTGTCTGCACTGTGGTGAATCATGCAGAAAGTGTTGGACTACCAAGAGGAGGATGGGTATTTCAGTCTCGGAGTCCTACCTCAGCCTCTGAAATGCTAGGATTACAGGTGCATGTGGTCATACCCTGCTAGAGGCTTTTTATTGTTTGACTTTGCTAGTTTCCAACTTGGTTCTTAAGCTATGTGGTGACTGATTGTTGATGTCTTCCACCAAGTGGTTACCATATGCCAGAGGATGGGGTCTGAAGAGCTAGAGTATGGGAGAAGAAGAGCAGGAATGCAGAGCCCTTTGTGAAGGCCTAACAGTTTTCATGGGAACCCACAGATTCAACTGTACAAAGCAACTGGGGTAAACTGAAATTTGAATTTTTAAGTTTTTGTTTTTAATTGTTTTTGGTTCTTCAAAACAGGGTTTTTCTGTGTAATAGCCCTGGCTTTCCTGGAACTTATTTTGTAGACCGGGCTGGCCTCAAAGATCCACCTGCCTCTGCCTCCTGAGTGCTGGGATTAAAGGCCTGCCACCACTACACCCAGCAAATTTGAATATTTGTGGGGAGGTTTTTCTCTGTTTGTCATTAGACTTTCATGTTTATCTGTTGTTAGATTTTGAATATGTATAACTTACAAATAACTGCTTTAAGGAAATAGAGGGAAAGTTGTGTGCCAGGCATTGATTCTATTGTTGATGTCTTGTTGATACACATGTGTTTTAACATTTCAGACAGTAGATGATTTGCTACGCTGTGGGATTTGCTTCGAGTATTTCAACATTGCAGTGATAATTCCCCAGTGCTCTCATAACTGTAAGTACATTTTGTTTTGTGTTAGTAAAAGCCCAAAGTAGTTTTCATTAACACTGAAGATTCATTCACACGTTCATTTTTTTATCGTCCATTCCTCTATCTTGTACTTTTAGGAAGGTCTATGCCATCACCTCCTCTTGAATATGATAGTTTCTTACAAGGTTCTTAACATTTTCTACTACCTCCCCCTTTGGATATTTTTATGTGCTTTTTATTGACTTTACAGCAGTGAAGATTTTGATAACAATATATGGTTATTTCCTGAGCACTTTAATGTGTTAAGCTTTGGGATGTTGCTTTAAGCAGAATGACAGGTGAATGTTTCAGCCACTTGGTGTGGAATTATAAATCTTAACCTTCAAAACAATAGGAATGTTGACACATTTCAGCATGGAATTATATCCCAGTAAACCTGTCAGGAGTTGAAAATACTGTTAAGTTAAAATTTTGTTAATGCACCTTACTTATTTCCTATTGTATGTAGCACAGTACAGGTAGAACGAACTGACACTCGTGACCAACTGGAGGTGGGGAGCTGTGCCTACCTCCTCTGACTGGCATTTCAAAAGTATTTTACTGCATATTGCTATGGGAGGATGGTGGGGAGCAGGACGGAGGAAATCAAAATGTAAAATATGGTTTCTATTGAATGAATACTGTTTTTGTGTTCTGCTATGGCTGGAAAATTGTCAAACCATCATAATTCAAGGGCCATCTGGATTCCCTCAAAATTCCCTCATTGAAGAGTATTCAGATGGTTTTATCACTTAGCAGCTGGGTGATACTGAAAAGAGTTGTGCAGTAGAATTGTTTATCTTCTTTATGAGAAATATGTTTTAAATGCTTGGTGTATAAGCTTATTCATTTGTTTACCTGTTTATTAGGTGATGTTGGTTTACATGCCCGCATAGATATATACTTAGGCAAGTGCTCTGCTACTCTGGTAAGATATTGCTAGCTAGTTAACCTGTCATGTAGGCCATCTATTTTATTGAGTATTTACATTATGATCTTTTTTTTTCCTCTGCTTTCAAGTGGATATTTGTCTTGGAAAGTTAAAAATCAGTTCAGTTTGGCTTTAAAAAAAGATGGTTTAATTGGGAAAAAGCTTTGACAAAAAGTTCTGTAAAGTCATAATAAGATGTTGGCAAATGTCAGCTTTGCAGATAGATACACCTACGCTTTGCTTTTGAGTACCACTTACCAAGTGGATGAGTTTAAAATTATTGTCCAACATTTCTCTAAATGGAAAAGACTATTGAGTAATTTTTACTTCATATAGTTCTGAGAACTAAAATGCAAAACTTGAGACTGTGGAAGATGGTTTAGTAGGCAAAGTAAGGACATGAATTCTGATCCCTACTACCCACTACAAAGTTTCTGCACCCCGATAAGCCTCTCCTCCTATGCAATAATCCAAATCAGACTCAATCAAACTGAATTAGAAAAAGCCCACATTTAATGGATAGAAATGCTCCTGGATGACTTTCCAACTCCCTAGAGAGGAGACGGGAAAGGAAGGCCAGACAACCACTTGTTTGTTCTGTTGGGGGAGGCAATTTAAATACCCTGTGGTTGGCCTTGAGCATCTCTGGGGAGGGATCGTTGTTTGGTGGGCTTTCTCAGGGATGGAGTCTGGACTGAGGCAGGTCCAGGGGAGGGGGCTTGAGGTAGAGCTTCCATACAAACATTCCAGACTCTTTGGACATGTGGATACCAGGGGCTAGAGTGAAACCCTCACCCAAACATCCACATAAAAGCCAAGGGTAGTAATGTAAACCTATAACCTTAGCACTCGTGTTCAGAGACAGGTGAATC